GATTTAAGGTCTCGGATTTATGGTGTAGGCAGTTGGATTTGTGATTTATGAGGCTTGGGCATTTCGTAAAGGATTCTGAGATTAAAGCTTCGGCACTATACACTAGACTTTGACAAGGACCGCGCCGAGCAGAATCATGTCACACGGTATTACACGAAGAAAGTGGTGTAGACATGGATGTCGGAAATTCTGCGCTGCTGGGATGTCGTGTTTGACGTCTCTTTTTGTTGCGAGGCATTGACACTTCGAGCCAACCGCTTTCTCTTTGTTCTCCAAGTCTAGATGCCCCTTGGGACCCGCAAAAGAAGCATTAACCGATTAACCTTAAACCCTAAATGCCGGGTATTACGTTTGCAGGGTCCTCAAGCGGATCCGACGTCAGAACTGCACACGTTGGGCTTAGGGGCCTCAATAATTAGAATAGGGTTTTGGAGCCCATGATACTATATATTTATACTCGATTTATAATGAGGAGCCCCTGAAGTAGTGTAGGTAATTATGAAGGCCCCTATATGATGTTGACGGCCTTTCTCACAAGACCTCCTGCCGCAGGCCTGCCCAGGCTGAAGATTTAGGCTAGACGACTTCTGAAAAGAACGGCCCTGAGAGGGGTGGGGCTTGGGGTTTAGGGTTTAGCCTATGAGGTCGTGGAGGTTTGCAGGGCAGTATCCACGGGAAGCCGTGACTTGGACGTCGAAACCGGCAAACAATAGCGATCCCAAATCCCAAACCGGCACCTACCCTAAACCCTAAACCCTAAACCCTTAAACCCTTAAACCCCTAAATCCTAAAGCCTAAACCCTAAAACTCCCTCCGTCAGGCCATGGTGCAAGTTTTGGTATTGTGAGACCCAGCTGTGGCTCGACCTGGGCAGTGGCTTGGACAGCAGCCGGGGAGCACTGCTGTCTTTAAGTTTAGGGTTTAGGGTTTCGACTTTAGGGTTAGGGTTTAGGATCTAGGGTTTCGACTCTAGGGTCAGGGTTTAGGGTTTAGGGTTTAGGGGTTTCATCTTCTGTTTCCTTCTGGGTGAGCAGCAGGGCTAAGTAGAGCACAGGCTGGATATAGCTTCCGTTGATAAGTCCCTCAAGGGTCTGCAGCTATCAGAAGGACACTTCGAGCCCTTCTGAAGAAACACATTCCCGAAACAGTTGCAAACGGGCGGGACCCATAGCACCTAGGCACCACCCCCGAAGAGCCCTCAACCGTTTCGGCTTTCCCTAATGCGCGCAACCTAAACCCCTAAACCCTAAACCCTAAACCCTAGCCACCTTGTCCAACAGCTTCACCGTGGCAGTCTGGAGTTCCTGGCAGATTCCCCGGGGGGAGGTCGGGAGGTCCTCCTAATGCGTGCGGTGGCGGTGGTGAGGACGATGATGGTGCTGCGGCTTATGATGCATATGATGACGATCATGACGATTTGAAGAGGTTGTTCATGATAATAGTCATCATCTGCTTCATACCCACCATGGCTATCACTATCATGAGTACCAGAGAAACGGCCTCATCAAGGGACATGCTCATCTTCATGAAGAGGAAAACAGCTCATCGGAGCTCAGTGCGTTGAAGGGCAGCGGGGGGGTTGACTATGAGGGCCCGACCAATGAACTAGAACAGCCCTAAACCCTTAACCCTAACATGATGATGAGGAAACCTAATTAAGCTATAGCATTGGCAGGTATTCAGGCCACTACATAGGCTTTGCGAAGTCTTGCTTAGGACCCTCAGTCAGATGCGTCGAGGTCCGCAACGTCCCAAACCCTAAACCCCAAGAGGCCGAAACTTATCACATCGTTGATTCAGGGCTTCCAAACTATCGGCTTTGTAGCGACTCTGTGATCAAACAGTATACCTAAACTAGATAGGATAGGGGTTCTTGCGATGTCTCGATGACACCTTATTCTCCAAAACCTGACCCTCGCAGTCAAGAGCGCTCTCTGGAAACCCTGGGGGATAGATGCTTCTTCCAAACCGCCTAAGCCTGCCACCCGCCACTGCTGCCTAAATACTAGTGTAGGGGCCTTAATAATTAGAATAGGGTTTTGGGGAATTTTCTCCTATAGTTATAAGGAAGCCACCAAAATAGTATAGATAATGATTAAGGCCCCTATATTTAACCCTGAGCTCGAAGACAAAAGACTCTCTGGATGCTCAGACCACCCCAACAGCCTCAACGCCCTGAACACCGTGAAGCCCCAAACTCCCTGCAACGATAAACCCAGAGAGCCCAATAACCCCTGATACAAGAGATCTATTCCTTATATCACAATACGAAGCCCCATTATCGCCTAAGGCATGTGCTGTAAGTGCTTGATATTGGACTCGCCAGGTGCCTTGGTCACGATGTCGCGGAGCTCTCCACAAAGCTCGCGCAGCCTCGTTTTGAAGCGTTGTTGAAGGAGCCCCAACCCTACACCAGAAGCCCTAACCCCATAAGCCCTAAACCGTTAAGGACCCCTATGGCTCCCCTATGGCTTGCGGTGGTTTAGCAATGCTTCGCGGCGGTGTGTATGAAGGTTTGCTGTCTTCAGGGCGATGTGGTACTAAAGGGGTCTTGGACTGTCTGCATTAATCGAACATCATGCCAAGACTGCTTGAGCTTTGGTGTTTCGGGCTTCAGGCTTAGGGGGCTTTCGGGGCACCTATTCGACAATATTCCCTAAATCCTACAGGCCCTAAACCCTAAACCCAAAAGGCCCTAAAGGCCCGTAAAGACCCTAAACCCAAAAGGCCCTGAAGGCCCTAAACCCTAAAGGCCCTAAACCCTAATGTCTTCGGAGTTGAACCTCGGGGCCTTGAGGCTTTCCGCTGGCTCTCTCTTCTGTGGGGCTTGGTGTTTAGGTTTTTTGTCGAAGGCTCCTGGGCTTCCTTGGCAAATGTAATATAGGGGCCTAAATAATCACCTATCCTTATTTTTTTATTTTATTTTTTTTTATTTTNNGGGGGGGGTGGTCCTTATTATAAATATAGTAGAATATACCCCAAAGCCCTATTCTAACTATTAAGGCCCCTACAGTAGGAAAGCCCTGGGACCCTTCTGACGAGGATCTCGAGTAAATTTGCACCAGTTTAAAAGAAAACCCTCATGTACAAAATACTCATAAAACACCCGTGACACAAAACAAATCTCGGGGACATTTCAGAAAACCCTATAAGGTCGGTGTGGAGGCTCTCATGACATCTAAACGGTCTTCCCTATAAACCCTGAACCCTAACTGGTTTTCGAACCTCTCCCAAAGAATCGCCAACGAGAGGCCGGTCGTCGGCTTTTCGGAGCACGGAGTCGACGCGGTCATCGTGGTGTTCCACTGGCTTTGGCATCCCGGAAACCCAGAATGCGCAAAGGCTACCCCCCCCTGGACCAAAGGAGTCCGACATGTTTCCATTCCATGGCCTAGACCCTAGACTTGGGCATTACCGACTGCACCATGCCGGGGGAGAGAAGTCCCTCCGTCTTCAGGTTTCTGGGTGCATGACTTCCCCAGACCTCAAGCTGAAGATTTTGGCAAGGGAGCTAACTCTGAACCCGCTGAGAATGGCCACTTGACAGACACAGCAGGATCCATCAATTTAGCATTTGAGGCCATTTAGGGCATAATCTAGAGGTCTGAATAGCTTGGAACTTTGTAGTCACCCGATTCTAGTCTTCAGGGGCCTACCTTCAACCCTACTAAACAGGAGGGACAATAGGAGGGACCCCTAGAAGGGACCCCTAATCCTAATACCCTATAGAACCCTTTTTCTACACCTTATATAGTCTCACAAAGCCCCCGAAAACCCCCAAGGGTCCCTTTAAGGGTCCCTCCTTTAGTCCCTTGATACTAAACCCGCTAGCAAGCCGACTCTAATCCTACGGCCCGCTAGTTGGTAGAATCCGTGATCGATCCTCGCCTCTCCTCGAACCGGAAATCTACCGACACTCCAGACTCCGCTTATGGGATTTGTAAAGGGAGCCAAAGGATGATCACCCCCCCCCTTGAACCCACCCAAAAACACAAAATCTGTAACCGATACCCTTCCAACTCTGCAACAGCCACCTTCCAAAGCTTCCAGCCCCGTGGAAGTAGCAGCACTATCACCTCTAGTCCCGGTACATTCAATATACTGTGATAATATACCCCGAACCTCTATTCTAATTTCTGAGTACCTGATGTTGTAATATCAGGGAGGTATAGGGTGTGCTGCGCTGTGCACGGAGTTTTCTCCAGCAGAGTCGTCGCTGAAACATTGCATCGTCACAGAATCTATGGGTGACGGTTTTGAGTTCCGGGGTTAAGGGTCCAAGGATTGCCAACATAGGTAGTTATTGAGGCCCATATATTACATGAGTTCAGGCAGCTGAAGGCCTTAATTAATATGGGGGCCTGAAAATTACCAGTACTAGTTTGGGGGCTCCTTATTGTAATTCTATGTAATATACACCAAAACCCTGTTCTACTTGTTAAGGCTCCTGTATTATAGTATTATATGAAGAAAACACCTGCAGGTATGTACAGGCAAGCGACCGGCAGCAAATAGGAGGAGGTTCCTCGGGGTCGAGTAGATTGGAATTTGTAGTCTGGCTAGTAGCATGGATCTATGAAATACAGGACTGTGGGAATGACCTAAACCCAATAACCCTAAACCCTAAACCCTAAACTACAGAATGGAGGATTCGTTTCAGGCAAACTGCCGGACTATGGATCCCGTGAGAGGGTTTCTGATACGGGCCGCGGCCTCTTCAATCTTCTGCTCAAAGAAGCAACAGCCCTTAAGGAGCTTAATTAAAGGAAACTACAGGTGGGGAGCTTAGTGTATATAGGCTTCTATAAGGCTTCCACAAGGTATAGACCTTCCACAAGGCTCCTATAACGGTAACTACCCACCACAAGTATCCGCTGCCGATGCTGCCAGTTGGATGCTGTGGTAGCGCTCTCCAAGTGCACGCTGGCTAATTCTTAAAAATCATCTTCTTCGAATTAAAGCTCCGTCTAGCCTACAGGCGGAAACCGGGCCTTGCGCCCTCAAAGCTTCTCCGGCGCATGTGCGCGTTTTCGGGGCCGGGAGGCCTCTTGGCTCCAAATGGTCAAGGTTTAGGGCTTAGGGTTTAGGGGTTTAGGGTTTAGGGATAAGGGTTTAGGGTTTAGGGTAAAGGACTGAAGGAGCGACCCTTGAAGGGACTCTTGGGGTTATGTAGGGGCTTTATGAGGCTATATAGGGGGTATACAAGGGTTATATATAGGGTATTAGGATTAGGGGTCCCTTCTAGGGGTCCCTCCTATTGTCCCTTAACATGGTCGAAGGTGCAGGATGACGGCTAAGGGTTCTGGGCTTCAGGGGTTTAGGGTTCAGGATTTAGGGTTCAGGGTTCTGGGCTTCAAGGGCTTGGGGTTGAGGGGTTTCGGGTTCACGGGTTTAGGGTTCAGGATTCGGGGTGCAGGATTTATGGGTTCAGGGTCTTAGGGTTCAGGGGCTCGTTTTGGCTTAAAGAGTTCGGAATCCTCAGCTGTACGGTCAAGCCCGTTCGGATTGAGGGTTCAGACCTTTCTTACTAGACTCCTTCCTACACGGGCCTGGAGACCCTCACCCTAAACCCTAAACCCCTGAACCCTAAACCCTAAACCTCTAGACCCCTAGACCCTAAACCCCTAAACCCCTACACCCTAAACCAAGAAATTTAGGACTCAGACCCTGGGTCTTCCCGAACTTCCCCCCCCCCTCTCCCCCAAAAAAATCGAGTTCTGGCGGATACAAAGGTAGCTACTTGTTGGGGACTTGAGGGCTTCGGTTTTAGCATACTGTCTGGGCCTTTAGGGTTTTTGGGTTTTGGGCTTTGGGTTTAGCATACTTTTTTGGGACCCCCTTCTGGGTTAGAAGCCTGAACTCTCAAAGCTTCCAGCCCGTCGCCAATTTCCAACACGATTCGCAAAGCCAAAATTCCGTAGATGACTTCCATTGGCACTTTGTTAACAAGCTCATGCAAGACAGCTCTGGATTCCACGGGTGGGGGGTCATTACATTGCTCTCCGCCACCTGTCGGCTGGACGTCTGCGCGCCGGGGCGGCAACGCGCCAGGGACCGCTCCTGACGGGAGATGTGGGATTGCGAGCTTGGGACCAAGGACAAAACCCCTTTGGGTTGCACCCCACCCACCATCGTCGACCCCCCTAAACCCTAAACCCTAACCCTTACGAACATGCTCCCCGTCGACCCCGAAGCTCGGCGCTCGTCGTCTTCGACGTGTGGTCGTGGCAAGTGCAGTGCTCGCTGTTGCGGCAGTAGTGCTAGACGAGTACATACTGGTAGGACGAGCTTTAGAGACTGCAAGGGCAAGCGTTCATGGCGGTACTGGACGTGCTGGTCTTAAGGGAGGCTACGTCAATTGGGAGTACTCGGAGTTTCTGGGTCAAGCGAGCATGAGCTCGAGGGCACGAATGTAGGAACTTGATTCAGAATCCTTGGTCCTATAACACCGAAAAATTAAGCTCGAGATTTTTTATGAACCCCAGACAAGACCCAAGGTTTCTTTTGTCGGGTTTCTATATTCGGGTTCTTTCCCCCTAAACCCTAAACCCTGAACTTACATTCTCCAAGGCAGAAAGGCCCTCAAGGCGTCCTGCTCCTCTCTCATCTGCTCAATCTCCATGCGGAGCTGCACCTTGTAAATTCAATGCTCTGCCTCATCTAAGCTGCTCTTGCTTCGAGCAACTACCGCTGTATCCCCAAACCCTAAACCCGAAGCCCTAAAACCCCAAAGCCCAAACAGCGTGTAACATTCTCAATGCTCTTGTTTGTGGAGTTCAAGTCTCAGGTCCTAGTGTCTGTTGCCACAAGCAATCGTAGAAGTACTGAGCGCAGCAACAATGGACCTACCCCTCAACCGCTTGAAATGTAGGGCTCCGGGCTCATGGTTCCGACCGCTAAACCCTAAACCTTCAACCCTGTGCCGGATGATGCTATCCAACAAAATTACAGTCACCTGACGATGACCAGAACAGACATCACCGACAGGATCATGGCCATGAGCACGAATAAACAAGCGAAGGTACAGAGACCCTGAGCTCTGAATTCCTAAATAAGTATCCGGATTTCTTCGTATGGGCCGTTCTCTAAAGTAGGGTCCTTTTTAGGGTGCTGTTTATAAGGGTGCCGTACTCTTTTGAGGACCTAAACAGGGACCCCATATATTTAACAAACCCTAAACTACGGGAACTATGGTATATTCCTTATTATGGGTAATGCAGGATTTGTATCATCAACAGTAGTATTACCACTTGCAGCTGTTGCTTATGCGTCTAGAACTATAGCGGCTGTGCGAATACCTCTGCAATGAAGCCATGCAGAGAGGTCTGTTGGCAGAACAGAAAAGTGTCTTCACGGGCCCTGAGCCTATTTACAAGAGCATCTCGAACAGCCGCCAGGTTCTAGTTTCCATCCACACCCTAAATCCTAAACCCCTAAACCCCTAAACCTCCTAAACCTCCTAAACTCCTAAACCTCCTAAACCCCTAAACCATAAACCGTGTAGCGGCTCATGTGCACCAGTTTTGGCCAAGAGCACAATCATGAAGTTCTCATGATCATCACGAGGGTTTAGGGTTTTAAGGATTAGGGATGATGATGCCGGTGCTGACGGAAATGATGATGGCTAGTGTAAGGGCCTTAATTCATTAGAATAGGGTTTTGGGACTATAACTATAATAAGGAACCCCTCAAAATAGTCCTAGGAACTATTTAGCCCCTCTATCTTACTGCGATTTCTGCTTTCGATGCTGAGGAGATGTAAATCCATGGTACAGCTCAACACAGAGAGCTTCGGGACCTCCGGGTGCATCTGGGTTCAGGGTTTAGGGGGCTCTACGAACTCGGCATTGGAGGCTTGGGATTGATCCACGCACCTGCAAGTGCGTAGAACCACTCTAAACTTAAACCCTAAACCCTGAAACTGTGGAACCCCAAAGGCCAAATTGCTGAAGAACCTAGGCATTCCAGACAGGCCTAGTAGAAACCCCAAACGACGTAGCGAACCCCGAACTCGATTAGCAAGTCACTGCTAGCACTGCACGCCGATCCAGCCTGATACATACATTAACAGCAGATATTCGGCAAGAACACTTGTGAAAGAAAAGATGACAGTCATGGTAACAATGATCACGTAATAAGGCCGGTACTAGCCACAATCACTTACAATAGTAGCAGCAATGATAGCAATAAAAACACCCGACATCACTGAACCCTCAACCCTACACTAATGTAGGCGCCTTAATAAGTAGACTAGGGTTTTGGGCTCCTTTATAGTATATTAATAATACGGAACCTAAGAAAGAATATAGGTAATTATTTTGGCTTCTATATTACACCGCCAAAAAAGACAGCCATGGAATCCCGACATGGGCCTCCTCGAAGGTCTCCGGGATGATCGGAGGCTCGGAGGGCGAAGCCCTCAGCCAGTATGCCGATTTAGGGAATTCTTCGGGTTTAGGGTTTCCTTAAAAGGCATCCTTTAGGGCGTCCTTGAGGGCTTCCAAGAAAAGGGTCCCATAAGGGATCTACCAGGGTTACTACAAGAGTCCGAGGGCCTATCCCCCCCCCCCCCACACACAAATCCACATACACACACACACAATGCACAAAAAGGCCCGGACAACCAAGAGCCTCGGAAAGGCGGGGGTTCAGTGTTCTATTAGCGTTCTGTATCCTTAAGCTCTCAGCCCTAAAACCCTGAACCCCAAACCCTCAGCCCTACAAACTACAAAGTTCAGTGTTAGGACGAATTTAGGCTTTCGAGGTGCGGAACCCCCGCCCAACACTCGAACCCCCCCCAACCCGAAAAATTGTAACACAAGGCCTCAGTAGTTAGAGTCTTCTCAGATGGAGTGATAACATAAACATTTCAGGGAATCCGCAGAAAAATATCTAGGTATTCAGGCCGCTATATGTGAATACGTAGCCACAAACATCCTGTGGTACCTCAGTAGTATACTCTAATACAGTACATTATTGCGAATATCATGAACCCCTTCCCGTAGTCATTCATAAATCCTGATCTTGAAACCCTGAAAATTAGAAGAGCGTTTCGGGATATACTGCGCTCGAAAGATAGGAACTAAAAATGACCACCCCCTCGCAGGGGGGGGGTGTGGGTGAGCCAGAGGGGGGGCTAGAAATAGGTACCCGTACCTGTTACGGCGGTGTGTTGAAGGGGGGGGGGGGGATGGGGAGGAGGGGGGGGGGGGGG